GAGAGAGAGAGAGTGTGTGTGTGTTTTGTGTGTAGGGAGGGAGGCGCCTGAAAGGGCCGAGATGTAACTCATAAGCGCGCCATGACCAATAAGAAAGGGTATTTTGCGGCGGCGCAGAAGGATCGATGGGGATGGGAATGGAGATGGAAATGACTTACACGAACGTACATCAGCACACACACTGTCGTCAGCGCATCGAAGTTCTTTCCGGGTATGTCCCCCTGTTCCTAGATTTCATTACTCCGTCCGGTGGGTGGTTTGACAAGTGAGACAAAGTCCGGCGAACGCTACGCCTTGTTTCTCTTCTGAGTATCTTGTGAGAAAGAAGAAAGGCAAGTGAGACATACCTTAGTGATGTGAGGTACCCGACCAGCCGACGAAGCTGTTGAAGAAAATCTGTCGTTCTTTCTTTCCTGCTTTCCGTACCTACATACCACACCGTGTAGGGTATCCATATCCTTTGAGTCTGGTGGTAAGTAGGTATAGACAATATGTCTCGGGTATGGCTGCTGAAGGTTTCAGCAGTCCATTCATGAGGTGTTCTTTGGTGGCTGGCATCCCGTCTCGCCAGTCTTTCTTGTTTCCCCGAAAAGGCACCTCGAAATCGTTCCATCGTCTGGGGGTATTCGTGAAGCCTCATTCATCACTGTTGGTGATGTTTGCTTGAGGGGCGCCACCAAATTCTCTCTCGAGAATGGAAGATGGGAGGCAGGGAAAAGAGAGAAGTTTGCTGTTGTAGTGTATCGAAACAAGATGGCTTGCCTGTTAGACATGTGCCTTTTCTTCTTTGGTCGATCTTCACTGATCTTGGCAGTGAGTGATCTTGGTATAAAAATACCCTGCATGGCATGCATTTAGCGGGCTAGCTAGCTAGCTCCCCGGTCCGTCCCCGCGGATGAGGGCCAACGTTAGGTAGGTGCCAATATTGCATTTGTATGGGGTTTGCATTTTTCATCGTGAAGTACATAGGTAGTGTTGGATGCGTGGGAGCAAGGCCGTTCGTTCATTTCCTTGCGTTAAATGCAGGCGACCTAAACATCGTCGACGATGATGATCGGGCATCCAGCTTTTTCGTCAGTTCACCCACCGTTCGGGAGGTGGTTAAAGTTGAAGTTGAGGTGGAATGGGGACCGACTAACTAACAACGGGCCAGCCATTCATAACAGATCTTACCACTCTTCCGCTCGTACAGTGTGTACTGTTGTTCCCCGAGCGGTTCGAACAAGGGTTGGGTACTGAGTTCACCTATCCCTTGAAGAAAGAAAGAAAGAAATCTCCTCAGGGGAGCGGGCGGGATACCTGTGCAGACTGTACATATAGAGGGTGATTGATGGCCGACGGCATTCGGGGGCATTGTTCTTGGCTTGGCTTAAACTTGGCTTTGCCGATTCTCTTTGCTTTTTTCCCTTTCCTTGAAGCCCTTTTTCTGTTGTTGTGTCTTTTCAACATGCAAGCGCCATCGTATGATGATCCATCCAGCCCGCATCTATACGGGTCTGACGGGTGGCAGGCCTTGTTGAACAAACTTCGAGGGCAAGGACAATAAAGACTCCAGGTTCAATTGTGCTGAATGGTTGATTGGCATGTGCATACCGTGCATGCCCAGATACTGCAGTTTACGAAAGTTTGACCTTGTTATTGACTTTGCGAGTCGGACCAAATCCAACATACCTAGACACACCACCAGGCCCGGGGCCCGGAGTATCTGAGATAGGTAGGTACTGTGGCATTGTCTTTGCTTCGGGCTTGGTATTTGGTAGGTATCAGATATGGGCTGATCAGTTACCAGTTGTGTGGTTGATGATGTTCGAAAGGGAGAGGAGGAATGCTGAAGGATCCATTCGATACGATACGATACGTAGGTCCCCGAGCCTGGGGATCTGTAATAATGGTTCAGGCGGGTTGCCGTGTTTGTTTGATCACGATCTCCTTTCTAGCCCCCCGAAAAGAAGATTAGGGTGTTGTTGTCGTTGTCCGATCGATCAAGCACTCTTCCTCCCTTCACCCTTTTCTCTTGTCTTGTGTGTCAGCTCGTTTTGTCCTGTGATGAAGAAGGCGATGCTCACGATCGTGTCGTAGACCGAAGTGGGTCAACCATCCCGCATCGTGGACGGGAGGTTAGGTTGCATTCCTTCCGATCTGAAGCCCCTGAGCCATAGCGCTGACTGACCAACACAACACAACACCATGAGCCTCCAATTACTTTAGCGCCGATCACCACCTAGTGATAGCGGTGATAGCCAGTAACCGAGCGCTAAATAGGCAGAACAGGCCCGAGGAGCCCTGTTTCCCGAGTATGTGGTGGTCAACATCCGCAAGGCTTCATGCACCTATCATTACCGTATGAGGTCGTGGACCCCCCATCCATACCTACACAGCGAATAAACTCTGAAAAAAGAGATAAAGTCCAATATGATCTCCATCCGGTAATATCAGCCCTACAAAACCAAACAGGTGGAGCATCTAGGTATCTTGTTCGTCGAGTTTGCGACTCGTTCTTTGGGAGCCGGAGAGCGACCGAATGGATGGATTCCATTCAACTTGGACCATCGTGACATCGTCACCGTCAAACTGTTGCATTCAGTTGTGCTTTGACCTTTTGTCTTGTGTTCACATTGATAGGTACGTAGGTAACTTGACGCGCCCAATGGTACGGTAGTAGGTAAGACCTATTTAGCACCTCTTGAAGTCCCCGAATGCTACGATATTTGCTTTCGCTTGTCGCCAACTGTTCCCTTGGGGGTTGGAAAAGACTGTGTTACGCTGGCGGCTGAACATCTGCTTACACCGCGAGACCGCCTAGCCGAGCATTGCTGTGCCGCTGATATTCACTGAACTGTCATTGACGGCGACTCAATTAGCGAGATAGATAGTGTTGCGCTCGGGGTTCATCGCTACGCTGAGATGTCCTTAAGAGGCGCAGGTTGTTCGGCGTGGTAAAACAGGCGGGTTACATCAATCGATGGATGTCGCCGATTAGTTATTATTCGACCTAACGGAGAAAAGGCTCGGGGTCTTGGTTGTTGTGTTACGGCGGGCGGGGTTAAAACGATGAAATAGAAGGATTGGGTTGATGAGGCTCTCGCCGGAAAAGAATTGGCTGGGTCAGGGTGTGGTGTGCGATGAGATAAATGGTCGGATGCGATCCGCCGGGTCGCCGGCCGGCTGTCTCGGCTCTCGGTAGGCTAGTGACGGTCTAAGCCCGGCAGGGCAACCATTACTCAAATAGTTCCCCGTAAAAACTCGCCAAACACTCGGGAATCATGAATGACGAACGTCGCCGACATACAAAGATCGATATCACCCAAGACAAGTGTATGTACCACGTTATCTCTTTGGCAAGACATCCCCTTTTCAACCCTTTAACTCCGAGGTGATGGGTGGATATCACAAGCCCTCCTATCACAGTAGATTGCAGAAGCCAGATCCCGTACGGCGAAGCCGGCTGCTGACAACCATGTGTTCCATGTGTTCCATGTGAGCGTCGTCGACTGGTCGGGTCTGCTGCGCCGTATATGGCTCCATCAAGGTACGAAAGGTGTCACTCATCCGGATGGAGCTGGTCCCCGTTCCGCTCTGTCTGGCATTCGGTCGCCTTATAACCGAACGTATATAACCCAGCGATTCGGTGCGGTGACGTTGACGTCGCCGATAGCTATCCCCGGGCGTGCTCAAGGTTCGGCGAGCAGATCCGGGGTTTCAGATGTCTTGGTATAGACTTTGGACGTTATACTCGCTAGGGCTTTCGGCCTTCTAGGTGCCCCCGGTACACGGAGGGGAGACGGGGATATCTAGCGAGTCGACGCTAGGTAGCCGAGACAATGAAGAAGGATCCTGAGGCTTTAGCGAGTGGCAAGCAGTGATGCTGATGCTGTAGACCCCCGACGTGCCTTCGGAGCTATTCGTCAAACGTATAAGAGCCCGTCATGGCCGTGGCCGACCCAATTTGATCGCCGTATAGCTCGGCGAGCAGACCGACGTGTTCACCTTTCAGGTAGGTGTGATGGAGCGTACCATGGAGACACTCGGCGACCTTGTTCGTGATGTTACCTGACGACGCTCTAGACCGTCGACAACTCAACAACGCAGCTGGACAGGGGGCCACAGGTGAGCCCGAACTGCAACTAAGGGGAGGTGTCTTAGCGGAACCATCGCTGACTTCCCAAGTCGTAGCCGTATGATTGGGCTTCCAGCAGGCCGGCCTTGAGCCCGTAGCATCGCTGTTCGGCGACGTCGTATGTGCATCGTCCGTTGACACCGGAGCACGCGGGGATCTACATGCCCGCAATGACTAGCCGACATCCAATGACAGAGTCCGGAGTCAGACCCTTTCAGCTCAGCGAGGAGCCCGAGGGGCAAAACTATCAGCAAACGGTTGGATAAAATTTGAAACACCCAAAGGGAAAAACCACTTACCTGGCCGTTCGGGGACTTGGTAGGATCCTTACCTTGAAGA